ACTGAAGAAGTCTCTTGGAGAAGAGACAAAACGTTTCATTAGAGAAGAACCCGTCCAGAGGACCTATACAATTTTTTTTCATCCCCATGCTGGATGGCACCCTTAACATTTGCCTACGCTGCCTATGCCTCAGGCCAGCCCTGGGGGGAAAAACACACATTAGATGTTAAACAAAAACATTTTCCGTAGATGTTATGAGGTTTACTATTGCAATCACTAAACCGTCTCAGTATAACGAACATGTCCCAACCACTGGTGGGATTACACCTGGGACGTTGCGTCATAAATACAAACAAAATGAAGTCCAGGACTGTGGGAACAGGAAGCAGTTTAATAGAGGAGTTCTGAGTGGATTAGGTGTGGATTCAGTGCACACCCTAGAATAGATCCGCTGCACACAATACAGGCTGTTTAACATGACAATACCTCCAGGACACACAAGCTTCTTATGAAGAGCCTCTTTAATAGTGTTTTAAGGTGAATGCCTGTGTGTGTGTGTTTATCCCAAAGGACAGACTGCCAAACTGGTTGGACAACATTAAGACACCTGAATGAAGAAATGGAGAACTAGTTTGACCAAACAGACAGGGCAGACTTCAAGCGAAAGAGAAAAGAAGTTAAAAAAAATCAGGTGTTTCCTTTCAGCTCCGGGTTCTAAGTTCAGGTAAATGTGATCATTTATGTCAAAGATTAACAAGCTTCTGTTTCGGTTTTCTTTGACTTCATGAATATTTCCCTTCTGGACGGAAGTTGTTGTCTGCTGCTGGTGTGGTGGCAGTTTGCTGCTGTCCCAGTTTGTTTGGAGGAAAGCTGTCGCGGGACAGACGCACACATCTGTAACAACACGCGCGCACGTACACACACACCGGAACAACAGCACGAGCTCTGTTTACGAGGAGGACTGCGCGCCACCATGCCTGTGCGACAGAAAGGTAACCAAACGACCTGTTTAATGTTTATTTGTTTTTGACCTGTTTCACCGCCCGTGAGCTCCTGTTTTGTTTGAGAGACGGCATCGAATAAACCGGTTTCGACCACTCGAAACGTGCGCGTGGGTGTTTGAATCAGACATAAAGGCGTTAATGAATGAGTTCCAGTGATTGTGGCTCACTTGGATTAGAAAAAATAAAACATAAATCGTAGCTAACACACTGCAGAGATTTATGACGCGTTGCGTTCACGCACCTACTGAAACGTGCGTAAAGTTGAGAGCTGATACATTAAAGTTGTGTTTCCGGTTTGATCAGCTGCTCATCGAAACAGCAATGTTTCAGTAATAAACATGGACATAAACTTAACAAAAGTTATTGTGACTAATATTAATGTTGGCAAATGTTTACATTGATTATTATGCTTTAATGTGCCGTCTTGGTGTCCAAAGTATTCACGTTAGTAAAGTAGAATTATAGGGTTTAAAAATAATTTTTTTGGAAGTAGAACTCAAGCTTTTTCCTCAAGTAAAATATAGTTTACTGGTTTGTAAAAATAGTATTCTTAAATAAAAGTAAAGGGGATAAGCTTATGCTGTTCCACAT